ATATATTTTTGTTGTCTGATTTTCAGTCGAAAATTAGTAGGTTACCAGCGTATTTAACCATACAATTCGTACGATTTTATTACAAGGAGAAAGAAGCGATTAATGCAAAAATTTTAAAAGACGTTAAATTTCCTTTGGAATTTGATGCTTTTGAATTATGTAGTCCTGAACTTCAAAATAAACTTGTACCGATGCGCGAGAAATTCAAAGAATATGAAGATAATTTAGTAGAGGAATCTTGTAATGTAAAAACTAAGGATAAAGAGGATAGCACAAAAAAAGAAATGAAACAAGAACCATTTTGGTTTAAAAATGGTAAGAAAATAAAAAAAAGTGAATAATCAACGCGTTTGAAAAAAAATTAACGTTTTTATCTTGATATGTATATTGTAGATTTGGGATCAAACAATAGTGGCTATTACAAATTACAAGCGGTTTTGACACATCGTGGACGTTCTAGCAGCAGCGGCCATTACGTTGCTTGGATTCGACAAAAGGGTGATACATGGATGAAATGCGATGACGAAATGGTAACGGCTGTCACCAGCGAAGAAATCTTAAAACTCAGTGGAGGCGGTGATTGGCATTGTGCGTACGTTCTTTTATACGGCCCTAGAATCTTGGAAGTGGAAGTGAAAGATACGAAAAACACTCCAATCGATACAGACAACACTGAAGCTTAACTGCCAAATAATTGTTTTACAATTGTGCTAGATAAGAAATTGCTTGTGTTGCTAGCTCCATATGAATATTTGTTTCTTGTACCAATTAATACAATATCATAAAAACATTATTACTATTATTATTACCATATACTACTATATAAGATATATATATATATATATATAAAATATGTATACATATATTTATATGTGCACACGCGCGCGCGCACATACACAGCATTTGGCATAATTCCTCATATATGGAAAATAACTTGTCGAATAACTTGATTCGTAGTAATTTTTTTAGATATACAATATAAAGACAAAAATAACATGATTACAGAATTTTAATTTTTATAATTTTTTAATATTTAAAATTAATAATGGATGTCGACACGTTCAATCAAGAGTAATGTGTATATAGAATATTATTGTATGCAAAATTCAAATACAGACAATAAGAAAAAAAGCATTGTTATTTATTGTCTTTCTATTATATATTAATATATTGTACAGTTTTTATTTTATATTTAAGATTTAACTGAAGAATCATATTATGCAATATAGAAGTTGTAGATTTTAATAAAAAATAATAAGAAATGCTCTATTAATTACAATAAGTACATTGTTAAATTTATTTATTTCGTAAAATAAACTTTTCCAAAATTTTGTTTTCTCTCTTAAAATTTGAAGTTCTACGTCCATGATGTTAAAAATCGCTTCCAGATCTCAGATCGGAGAAAAAATTGACCAATTGTATTTAAATAATTCGGTCAATTGATCAATGCAATTAATTCTCTTTCCGTTCCGAGATCCCGAACTGATTTCTAAAGACCGATACATAAAAAGAAACTTAAGCAATAAGAAAATTGACCAATCACATTTGATTATTATTTTTACGGACGCAAAATAATCATCTGTGATTGGTCACTTTTCTTATTGCTTGAGTTTTTCTATGTTTTCTAGGACTCATGACTCTAATATCGTATAGACATAAGGTTTTATATTAAATGAAATAATGGATGTTTTTCATTTAAAAATACAAATATCGATTTTTTTGACATTCAATGAATACAAGGACAAAAAACAATATTTGTATCCCTGTAATAATATAGGGATTTAGTAACTTTTTAGACTTTAATGTCGACTTATATTACCAAGTGGAAAGCACCTAATCTTATGATAATATTACATTTGCCGTACAAAATATATAATATTATCCTTAGTTGTCATCCTTTTTCGCGTACATACAAAAATTGTATGCGTCGGATAAAGAGATTTCAATATTTGATATCTCTCTTTAGTTGTCTATCACTTTCGGTTTCGATGAACATAGTGGCGCTGAAAATTGTCCAATTTTTCCAAGAAAAGTTTGAATCATACTCATATTATGTCTATGGTTCGGATTGCCCGGTAAACAGTTTGAAATTAAATCAATAACGGTTGTAACCACCAAGCTTTTTTAGTATTGTCGCACAATATACTCTTTCGTCGTCAAAATGCCAAGAACCAAACGCAGTAGGACGACAGGCAACGCGACGAAGGACCGTGATGCGGCGGTAAAGACCTTTGAGAAACACGTGCAGCTCCGTATCTCCAAAATGGAACGTGACCAGCAAGTGGTTCTTAAAGGTTTCGAGGCTTTTATTGAGGTTATCGTATCCAGCCTACTACCAGAAATTTTTCAAATGACATTAGGCGAGTTAATCGACTGGCAAGATCAAAAGGACAATGATCAAAAAGAGAACCGCGATGACGAAGTGAGCTCGTCAGTCAAGAGTCAGATGCAGCCACCCACTACTACCCGTAAACGGAAAAATACGAGCAAGACTGTCAAACGTGCCATCACCGCTGTGTCTGACGACGGATACGCGACCGGCAGTACCAGTATGGGCAGCACGTCGCGAATTACCAAAGCACAGATTCGACCAACATCAATGATGAGGACGCGTAGTTCCACCAGAGTAAGTAGAGTTAAGCTTAAGAATTAATCGGAAAATGGAAGTAGTGCCAAGACAGAATTTAAATTTATTTTTTTCTCTTCCCAAGTTGGATAACTTTCAAACACCAGCAATGTTGAAGTCTATGGCTAACATATATGATGTGGTTACGCCAAAAGTCAAGCCTAATACACCGTTGAATGTGTTGAGACGTCCACGTCAAGGAGAAATGGTTCTCAGCATGCAGGGCAGTCCGCTATTAGTCTCTGCGGTTATTGATGAAAAAACTGCTAATATTAACGTACCTTTGGCTAATGGTAATGTGATGTCCTTGTTGCCTAAGGAGGGATTACGGATGTCGAATATTCCTCCATTGGACCCTGAAATGATGCATCAATTAGAGACTCTTAAAAATCATATTGAGAAAGTTATCTCATTCAAGTAGTAATAGCCCACATAAATAGGAAATACTTAAAAGTATAAAAAATAGTATATATATATATATCATAAAATAACTTTATACTTTTACATATTTATATTAGCGTAAGGGAAAATGATGTATTGTGTAATAAATATCTTTTCACACATGTGCAAAGTTATAAAATGTTAATTGTACATATGTATGGATTAGCAGAATTTAATGATCTTTGTATGTACAGAAATTTTGAAACTATTCGCATTACATTTTTCATTGGGCATTCTGCATTTTTTCTTATATAACTCAATCAATATTAAATATCTTGGCAACTGAGTAAATTCTTGAGTAAATTTAAATTTTTGTTTATTTACATGTTTAAAAACTTATGAAAATTTTAATTCGTAACAATATTTTCATTAACAGAAATTTAAATTATCAATGTCCTCCCCTCCCTCTCTCTCTCTCTCTCCCTCTCTCCCCCCCTATATTTATCTATCTATCTATCTATTTATCTATCTGATGAATATGTCATGCGAGCACAGAGATACCGCATTTTCACTTTGACCGAGCCAATCGAGCGTATTTTTTATGTAAGATAAAAATGCGAAAAGTGAGAAAAATCAATAAAGATATACAATCGACCTCTTGAATATTCATATGGAGTTTTTAAAATGCAATTTGGATTCTTTATCTAAAAGCTTTATGCATCATTTTATCCTTGTTTAACATTCGGTGAACAACAAAGGCTGCGTTCCAATATTCACTGGAAGTGCTGAAAATCTATAATATACGTGATATAATATTCGTGACCTGAACTATATATTTAACTCTATAATATTAACTCTATAATATTCGTGACCTGAACTGTATATTTTCAGTATTGGCAGTGAATATCGGAACGCAGCCAAAAATAAAATAACATGGTGGCATTTGGATAGGAAATCCGAACGCACTCTGGTGAATTGTAATGATTATTATCACAACTGTCATTGTGAACTCGATGCTGAATAATGTTTTTTCAAACTGAATAATCTTTTTCATATACATTTGTATAAATATAATTATGAACTTTCCTTCTTAATATCGTGTTTTTATAATTTGTTATATATCAATTATTGTTATACTTTATACATTGTTATTTACTTATAAGACGATGGAAAAAGAAAGGTATAAAATTTTATATACATACTTTTAATAAATAAGACTATTACTTTTAATAAATAAGACTATTAAAAACTTTTTATTAATCTAAAATTTGCATAATTTGCAAATTTTTATAAAAAATTACATAAAGAGAAAAAAATCGTATGACTTTAGATTGTTAAAATCATCTTTTAGGTTAGAATTTCTGTAAGGTAAGAATGTGAACAATAAAAAGACGAATAAAACATTTTAAATCTACTACTTAAAAAATGCTCTATTATTACCCTATTATTTTTTTTTAATGTTAAATGATTATTTCAATTTTTTTAATTATGTATAAAAGAAAAGAGTTGAACAAGTTGATGACACAGAAATTTAACAAAAGACTCATATTTCAAACATGAATTCACAGATTTACAATGCTTCTTCTGGAACCAGGAGAAATATTTTTTGAAGATTATAGCGTTCAGATGAGAAAATTGGATACTCCATGTACTAAAGATAAAATTTGGATGGATGGGAGGTTGAAATTATGTTCCAAATCTCTAGTATTTGTAAATAAAGATAATAATCAACCTTTAATTAAGATTCAACTCAAAGAAACTATATCGATCCAGCAATATACATCAGGCAACGATATAATGAGGTAAATATATACCTGAGACACTACCATGTCTCCTAAATATTGATTAATTTATATAAATGTGCAGCAAATGAAAAAAATGCATAAAATGATAGAAATAGACCTATTTAATTTTTTTATATTTTGATATATTTGAATTTGCTGTAGTAATATGCTATCGGTGGAATGTAAGCAACATGTGGAAATGTTAGAGAAGAATATTTTAGCACCATACAGATTCATACATCAGAATACTGTGTTCTACTTTTGTTTCAATTATGCAAAAGTAGAAGATTGCCTTCCACAGATTCTACAGTTACATAGAGCGGCGAGTTTAGTAACTATAGAACAAAATGCTATGGTAATATTTTTTTATTTGTTAGATATTTTCAAGCGATTATAACAAACATTAATGTTATCTTAATGATATTTCTAATTTTAAAGATTATGGCTATTGTACACTCTAGACAGTCACGCATATCTTTTGATACTTCATGGCTTGAAGATCTATATGAACAAGTGGTCTTGGAAACACAAGCAAACAAAGTATTACCACTTGTAATTAATCCAGGAAGAGTATTATTGACTAACTCGCGAATCTATTTTCAACCCTACAATAATATGGATCAGGTAATTATTTGTCATATTTATCATATTACATTCTCTCTCTCTCTCTC